GTTAAATATTGAGGAAGAGCTTAAATGAAACAAACACTTGGATAAGAAAAGGGCCTGCCTGACCTCCTGGATGATCTTCTGCAGTTCCTTGTTCTCTCGCTCTAGTTGTCTGGACTTCTCCTCGTCATTGTTATTGGTGGATGAACCTGTCTTCACGGTCTCCTGGGCATCTGACTGCCACTCACCGCGTGTTATCAGGCGCCGCATCTACAAGTTGTGCAAATGTTTTTAATGTGATACATGAAAACTCCATAGTGCATCTATTACAACAGCTTGTAGTACTGTAGAAGAGTCCATCTGCTGATAGGTGCTTCTTCTGCAGAACTTTTACCAACTCAAAACATTTTGCACATTATGAAACAAAGGATTTAACAAAGATCACCCAGGACTACAGGAATGGGACCTCATTCCTCTCCCACCAATTAGTCCCCTAAGTTCCCAGATGTTTACAGACTGTTGTTAAGAGTCTAGGCAGTGGTAAGACAGTGGACAGATGTCCCAAATGTTTTGAAATTTGTTGTCGCCATAAAACTCAAAATGAGTTATTTTGAAACATTATCTACATGATCTCTAATTTCAATGGTCACCATGACATACAAAGTACACGTATGGAATCATCAATCAAAGCTGAAACAATTTTTCTCATCAAATAACACTTAAAAAGTTTTGCTGCCATCATCTTTGCTGTCGCATGATTCTTTCATAAATATCTATCCAAGGTTTGTTGAGTTGCATGTTTCTCATATGAGATATCTGTTATTAATATTAGTTTGGGTGTTGGCTAATTAGCAGATATTTCAGTACCATGTCACTTTTCTGTGACAAATGAATGCAAATAGCAGAAACAAAGTTTATAAGTTGTACACAGTGTATTAAACCAATGAATACCTGAAGAGTTGCTTTAAACTGTACATTTATGGTAAATAAAGGATGTAAAAGTTAAACCAAAAAGTACCTACAAATTCTAGTAGGTGCAATTGGCTTGAAGTTAGCCTCTAGTGTTGTATGCCACATCCCCATTGAGTTCCTGATGAAGGCTCTTAGGGTCCTATTGA